CTCTATTCAGCCTCTTCTTGACTGCCTGGCTGACATCCGGGACTGGATGGCTTTAAACTTCTTAAGCTTCAATGAGAAGAAGTCTGAAGTCATGCTGTTCCATCCCAGTGGCTCACTCATGAACCATGACATTGACCTTTTCTCTCTAGCCCCGCTAGAGAAACAAAAGGTCACTAATCTGGGGGTGATAATGGACCCGTCCTTAAAACTCAACAGTCACGTAAACATGATGGTCAAATCCTGTTTTTTTCAGCTGAGACGGCTGTCTAAGCTGAAGCCTATACTCTCCAAAAAGAACCTTGAGACAGTGATCCACGCCTTCATAACATCTAGGCTTGATTACTGCAATTCACTTCTGTTTGGAATCAGTCAGTCCTCCATTGCTCGTCTACAACTGGTCCAAAATGCTGCAGCCCGATTTTTAACTGGTACAGGCTATAGAGAGCACATCACGCCAGTTTTGGCCTCCCTGCACTGGCTACCCATTCACCTTCGGATCCAATTCAAAATTCTCATGTATGTTTTTAAATCACTGAACAGTTCCGCCCCATCCTATCTCACTGATCTTCTGCAGCCATATGTCCCACCGCGCTCTCTGAGGTCAGCAGACCAGATGCTTCTCTCAGTCCCAGAAACCCGTTGTAAGCTCAGAGGTGACAGGGCTTTCTCTGTTGCAGGTCCACGACTGTGGAATGAGTTGCCACTGAGTGTCCGGCAGGCTCCCACACTCTCAGTCTTTAAGTCTCGCTTGAAGACCCACTTCTATTCGCTTGCCTTTAACACGGTGTGATTTGTTTTGGTCCGGTCTGTACTCGACACTGTTGGCCATTTTAGTTAGCTTCTGCTGCTATTTGTATCTGTATTTCTATTTTATGTTTTCCTGTCTGCTGTGCATGTTTGTTTTCTTTTGTACAGCACTTTGGTTGTCCTTGTTGCTGTTTTAAGTGCTCTATAAATAAATTGGTATGGTATGGTATGGTATGGTGTGTGTATGTGTGTGAGGGGCATAGGATGCTTGACAGGATCGGAGCAGCTCTATTCACACACAACCTGTTGTTGCTCTCTAAAATAGTCTGTGACGGCTGGTATCAGTGGGCTAGGAGGGCTAAGCCCTCCCTCCTGGGATTTATAATAAAGATGTTAAAATAAACAACTTAAAAATAAATATATTTTAGAAATAATGTCACTTTTTGTTAAATTTATAACAAACGGGTGTCAAACCACCTGAGGAAAATCCCCAGGGTCGTTCCAAAGGGCTAAACTCTGACAGCCCTGTTCTGTTACTGTTCTGTCATGGTTCAGAATGATTGACAGACGTCTGGTCACGCCCCCTCAGTTTGAGGCTCATGGGGACTAATTTTGTTCAGCCCAGGGTCCGCCCACAGCCACACGATTCATCCAATGAGGATGGACGTACAGTAATGTGCCGAGCGAGAGTGTATGTGGGCATGGTTTGGTGTAGACTGCGTAGACACGATGGCGAGCAATATTATCTTAAACAGGTGGATTATATAATCAATAACCATTTTCTTTAATGTCTATTGAGGAAAAACTGGAGGTGAAGAGGTTGGGGCTGAACAGAAGAGGATAGTCAAATCCAGCAAAGAAAAAACCGTGCTGTGTAACTGTGTTGAACTTGGCCGGATATTAATTCAGCTCGGTCCAAATAATATCAACCTGTCAGTTCATTTTTATTCTTCTTATAGTTTACTCTGCGTTGTGTTTAATGATGACCAGAAGACCAGCGTTGAACTGAATGCTGTTTAACTCGCTTTTAACTTGTTTGAACTCGCTTGGACACGTCAGCTCAGAAGTGCAAGTGGGTGGTGGACGCTGTAGAAACAAATATCAGCTGTTCCGGCTGAAACTTCAAAATAATCTGCCACTCACGCACTCCTTCATGAAAATTAACACCAAACAATTTAAATATGGCCTCATTTAAAAACATCGTATCTTGTTTTGTTGTGTGTTTCCTTGACTGATGAAGCCTTCCGGATCGAAGGCGAAACCAGAGCCCTATACAGAGAGCTGCGACACTCTTTGAACTCGCCGATACGCGGTCACGTGGTTCATGCAGCTCCAATAGTTCCAAACAGTTCATCCTGTCAGTCAGTCTGAGGCTGCTGGAGCAACACTACACTAAAATCATCTTTTCTTACTTTACCTCTGTCTTTCAGTAATTATTGAGCAGCAACGAACAAAATTATTGATTATTTCACAGACTATGCATTTTATCAAAGTGTTTTTAGAAGCAGCTGATACATTTATCATTATAGAAGGAAACGAGACTGCAAACACATATTTGTTAGGAAAAAAGTATATGAATATAATGATCAATATAGCCATGTCAGTGTTTTATAACGTTAAAAAAAGATCAGAGTAACTCCTGTTATAAAGCTGTTTCTGATGTTCTCTGCAGGATAAACCTTGTCCTCCATCCAGCATCAGATCTGCTCCAGCTTCCCTCAGAACATCTGGATGAATTCTTGATTTCTATTGAAGATATTAATTCAACCTTTATTTAAACAGGTTAGTTCCATTGAGCCACGAGGACTCATTTACAAGAGAGACTGAATATAACTGTTGTATTTGTAGTTTTTTATGGCACCAAGTACCTGATAACTGAGTTTATTGTAGCCTGACAACTATTGTAAAACTGTAATTCATTGATTAAAATGTTCATTTAAATGAAACTGTTTCTAGTTAAAATCATAACAGATGACAAATAAGTGTTAACTGTGCAAAAATAAATTTCCAAATAATTTATTATAAAATATGTAAAATGTAAAACAAGCTTTAATAAAGTACTTTTACTGACATTTATACTGTTTATTAATGACATCATCTCAAGTCAGCAGGAGCACCATCATCATCATCATCATCATCATCATCATCATCACAACAACACAAAGTGAGAGCTGTAAATTTAATCTGCACAAACATTTTCAATCTGGGCTCAAAATGTTGAACTGTCAAAGAAACGTGCAAGAAAATAAACTGATGTCACTCTACAGACACATTTAGAGAGAGGACAGTTCACAGAGACACAGTGAGGACGTGTGAGACAGAGACACAGTGAGGACGAGTGAGACAGAGACACAGTGAG